CTATATATATATATATATACGGTTTAGCCCTCCAAAGCCCCGCGTCAGTGCCTTTAGGTTGGAGAAGCTTTAACTTCATTCGTCGAAGCTTCCTGTTGCACGTTGACAATGATGGAGTAGAGACGACCTCCCGGGGTTGACAAGTTTTTGAGTGTGGCCTGAGAAGCGCCTAGATCCCACTCGCGGATTCAATGCCTCCCAAAATACTAGAAGTGTTTTCTCCACTTAAGAGCATACGTCCATATCGATCCAACTTTCTGAGGGTCCATTATTGAATTGAAATGAATCTGTGTGTCGGGCATATACTGCTGACTTCTTCCCAAGTAACCCAGGGTCAGCTCAATTTGATCTGAAGTGAGGGTAAGCTGAATCTCCCCTAATTGTGGTGATCGTGGTGGTAAGATATAAACTGTGATATTATAAAATGCTATCTATCGTGACTGTCTCGTGTTTGGAACCGGTGATTCAGTCCTATCATCCTCCGTCTTCACCAAAACTGGTCCTACTGCTATTGCTTTGCTGTAAGCACACCTGTGATCTCTAACTCCACCGAAAGGAGAAGGACGGTGTGCTTCTCATCCTTGGTGAAGTAGGTGCTTACGAATCCGTCATGCTGAGCCCTACAAACAAATTGTCACGGCCTCTCCAAAAAATTATGACAGACATTCATGAGGACCACATCGCATCACATCTGATGTTGCAGCTGGCTTCTGATCGAGAACTTCGCTAGGTACCTCCAGTCAATGCTTATCCTGTCCTTCTTTAGCCACATTAGAGAATATGGTTGGGAATGCCTCCGAGTCATGAGGCCCAACTTCTCTACCGTTTGTGTAGACGCCATGTTCTTACTGCTCCTTCCATCGATAATGTGACTGCATACCCTTTTGTTCACAATGCAGCGGGTGTAGAATATATTGTGATGAAACTAACATAGATCCTTCGTATCCTCCGTCTGTAGGACTCGTTGAACGACATGCATATCACCCTCATGATGTGGAAGATGATGCACCTCATCATGTTCCTCGGTTGTTTCCTCACTGTTAACCTCCTCCACCACATCTTGCTCAGTAAAAGACATGGCTTGTTGGGAAACTAGAGGCAATTTGTCCAAATTGATGACATCTAAAACATTTTTCAGGCAGGAATTGTAGTAGTTGTGCTACTTTTCTTGGGCTTTTTCTCACTTTGGGTGGCTCTGATCATATTCAAACCGGTTTTTTCAACTCTCTGAGTTGTGCTTCTGCTATTGTCTCTAATTGCCGATGGCTGCCTGACTTGTGGTGGTTGCCTGTTCTGTCTCTGTTGTCTCTGCACCTTCAGGGCTAAGTTCTGGACATTTCCCAGTGTCTACCAATATGGCTATAGTTGCACAACATTGCTAATAGCAGACTTCAACCCCTCAGGTAGCGGGCTATGGTGCATTTCTTTAGCTTTACCAACTCACACTCCATCTGTAACCGGTCGAATTGTGTTGTGAACTCTACCGAAAGGTTTCTCTGCTGCAGGTGGCGGAGTTTCCGAAACATGTTATGGCGGTAATGAAATAGAAGGTATTTCCTCTTCTTTGTATCTATTTCCTCTTCTTTTCTCACTTGGTAATCTTGTCACTATCTTCTTTTTTCTTCTGCCTCTGCCTCTGCAAATCTTATCACAAAGAGGAGCTCTTTCTCAATTTGAAGTTGCAAGCTTCACCCTTTTATGTTTTGACACCTCTTTGTACTCAAAAGATCTTCTCAACTGATTGTAGTCATTCGATAAAGTCATCTGGATTCGTACTTTCATCAAAATTTGATAGATTTTCCTTTATTCCGAAGTCCCTGTGGCCTTCTCTCTAAGTCTCCTCAGATATTGGATTCTAAAACATTGTTGTCTTTCTTCTCCATCATTGAAATTCTCCCCATGAAAGGGGTTGAAATTCTCCTCCCCCCCACCATCGACTTTCCCTATTATAATCAAGGGTAATTTATCTCTGGAATTCATCCTCCATGTTGGTAAGTTTCATCTGTAATCGGCGGATCTCTTGTTATATCTCTTTCCAGTTAGGCTCGAAGATGTATCTCTTTGTGATATGGCTAGGGTTTAGGGTTGGGAGGTGAAACAAGGTCTGAAAAATAATTTATGGTTGCTGATTTTGAAAATCAGCAAAGCGAAATTAGTGTTAGGTCAAAATTTTGGTTATGGTTTGTGAATAGGAAAGCAAATTTTTGTGGGGGTGGCTTGTGATGGGCGGATACTAGGAAACCATAGGATATGACTAGGGTTAACCTAACTTTGATACCAATTGATACTAGAGTTAACCCAAAACACAATCGAATTTTAAATATTATTGTTGAAATTCAAAACGAGTTACAAACATGACTCAAAACAATAAAGAAGGCACAACAAACACTAATATCTTTTTAGGGCGGCATCGGACGGCCAGTGGACAACGTGTAGGAGGCTAGGAGATGGGGCGGTCGGCTGATTGGTGGTTTTGGCAGGAAGGGGGTAGGAGGGGTGCTGGTGTAACTGTTTATGGGTAGGAGGCATGGTGGCTGTGAAGGGGAGGTCAGGGAAGCAGCAGATAGGGGTTGCTGCAGCAGGTGCACGGGAGGGGTGGGGGATATGCTGCTTCATTAGGTTATGGGTGTGGAATAACGTGGTTGGGAATGGGGGACTACAGAGATGGTAGCAGCAAGGGGGCGGCTACAGCAGGTAAGTAGGGCAAGGGTAGGTTGCGGGGGAAGTTGGAGAAGGATAGACATCTTTGCTGGATCAAATTAGAACCAGAGCACCATTAGGATCCTCGGAGAAGGTCACCACCTCGGATGAGTTACAACCGGAACAACTTCTCGTCGTCGGATACAACCCTAAGAACGGAGAAACGCCCGGAGGCAGAAATCTGAAATCAGAGACAGCGAAACATTGAACCCTAAACATTGAAATTAACATATATATACTAATTGGTAACTAGGCGGGGGGAAGCCCCTCCCTTTGGGTTATAAGGCTGAACAGATTTTGCTCTCTTTGGCTGGTTCAGCCCTCCAAAGCCTGCATCAGATGCTTTCTTCAACTTCCTTCTCTTCAGAATTCAAGAAATTATATGCTTTGTATGCCTTATGGATTCAAGCACTTGTTTTATGTTTTCATGGTGGGTTGGGTGCAATATATATACAAATAACATGTCAGCTAGCCAACCTTTACTGTAATATGGTTAAATCAATATCCTAATGTATTTCCAGTACACTGTTCTACTGCCTAACTTGTGGTGAATGATGTTTCAGGTTAGTAGTGGTCAGTGAAATGCCAGCTAAGTTTGTGTTTGAAATGTTGTGCATCTATCTTCCACTCTTCTCATAACTAATAGATTTCTTGTTTGACACCCTTCATTTGCACGTTCTAGAAACGGGATCCTGTTCTAATTCTCTCTTGAAATAATGTAACACTGTTAGGCTGATCATTTCTTACCATTTGTTGAGTGTTTTCGAGTTTATTTGCTGCTTGTCATATTATGTCCGCCATTTTCTAATGAAAATGTGTCAAAATGTATTTCGGTAGGTTGATTACAATTTATATGGAATGAGCCATTTGCACACCGTAAAGGTCAAATTCCGCTCACCATTAAGCTATTGCTATAGTGCTGCTTTTTTAAGGCGCAACAATTTGGATACGCCAGTAAGGGATACTTTCTCTTTTTGTTTTGTTTTCTTTATAACTTATGCAACCTTATGGCAGCTTATGTAGTTCACCCTTCTGAATTAATAGTTGTGATCCTTAAATTTGTAACACCAGGAAGCTCTGAGTAGCAGCAGTAGTGAGAAACCAAAAAGTTGGCTTTTTTCTACAATACCCAGTGCTGTCGTACGGCCGGATTCCACTGGTTCGCCTGACCGCACAGATAAAAAGTTCATCCACCTGACCAGACGTCAGAGTATCTGTCAACTTGAGGCTGATGCAAGTGTTGATGGTTTGTGTTAAATCATCACGTAACAAGCAATGCCAAATTCCTGCATAAATCTTTCTTTTCTTGTTGATGTCTCATATTTATTTTCTGTTGCAGACATCATCAATGAGAAATTTAAAATTTACACTTCCCTTTCTCAGACAGGATTTGATGTTAGAATGGTTCAATCACTAGTACCTATTTGGGAGGTTTTTGTCTATTCATCCTATTTTATATTCACTACACACACACACACACACACACACACACACTGAGCGCATGATTGCATGTTTTTTTAAATTTTTTTTATCCTTTTTAAATTTAGGAGGAATATGAGCGCTCTGGTATACAGGAAGCAATTAAGCAAGCTGATCCCAATAGGCCTCCAGCTGATTGTGTCTTGAGAAGCTTTATACATGGGCTTAATTATGATAAGGCACTCTCTGAATTGTGCATCGAAACATGTAATTCTTCTCCTTCCAAGATCCATGTTGTAGATGGAAATGAGAAGTTAGTGAAGTATATGAAGTCATTTGGTGACATTAGCAGGAAAATTGAACTCATGGGAGACCAACCACACATCAAATCTTATCAAGTTCTTTTGGTTAGTGGTGGAGAAGAAAATAGAAGTAACGAAACTTCATCATCTCAAAGTTTAGTGAAAGGAGATCTGAAGGTGCTTTTATGTGCGTTTTACATGTTTTGAATTTGGGAGAAAAATTTGAAATTGTTATTATTTTTTTATTTATCCACTGCATTCAAATCTACTTAATTTATTTGATGTTTTTTTACCACCAAACTGACATTCTTTTCTTAAATGGAAGCTGACGATTAGAAAAGTGTCTATAGAGAACTGCAGGTAGATATACCTAAGCCGTTGCAAAACCTCCGGGCATTAGTATGTTGATTTAAATTTCTCAAACACATGTGACGTACTCTTCCTTTCTTGACAAACGCATTGGATAGTGTACATGGATCTCAGTTGTGTAGGTTCAATACACACCAACACGAGAGGGTGAATTGGGTGTACAATTTTTTTGGCATTCTAGAATTCCTTAAAGAAATTCTTCTCCACTCAAATTCCACATAATCAAATACAACTTATTGTGAACTCTATAATAAATATTCACAATAAATGCAACCAATGATATGGTATTTAGAACCGATAATTATAGTAACAAGAAATTATTCACGTGTAATATGCATATACTAATATAAGAGTTAGAGCGCTTAACCACAACATAAATAATCTCACTCACTATGATTAGAACCACACGTGTAATCTTGTTTAATTCTACAAGTGAAACAAGCAATGTGTTTAGTAAATCTCTAACCTGGTGAGTGACTCTAGCACTGGTATAAAATATTATAACATAGGGCAAGCTTTTAAACACCTTTCATAAGTGTCACTTCAAAGAATCAAAATAGGTTATGTTAGTACAATTAAATATACGCCATAGCTTAAGTGTACAATTATTAAGCTTAAAGAGCTTGAATAATGTCTTACTTTAAACAACATACACTCATTCACCCCTAATAATGATATCATGAATATACAATGAATATAAATTGAAGGGGAATTTACACACATACTACTGAGAACATCCCTTTTTACATATCTAGCACCTAAAGATTTTTTGTTACTTTTCTGCCCCCCAAAAATCTATAACTTATCAAATGTACTACTTCCCATAAGAATACACCTATGTTGTCTCATGCAACAAACTCTGCCACACTAAAATATCCCGCTCAAGCAAAAATTTATCTCCTTTTATTTTTTAGCAGTTTCAACACTTGCTGAAGGTCTTCATCGCACTCAAATCTTACTCTTTGCAAATAATAGCAGAGTAGACAGATTGATTTGTCTTCTTCAAATCTTGAGGTGAGGGACTGCATTGATTCGTTTTCAATTTTTCCACAGCTCCAAATATCTTTGAAATCCTTCCAAAGCAATTAATCTTGCAAAAATGGAGAATTTCTTGACTGATATATGTGAAAAAATTGACTGTTCTTTTTAAAGAATTTCTGGACAGATTGATTTGTCTTCTTCAAATTTTGAGGTGAGGGACTGCATTGATTGGTTTTCAATTTTTCCACAGCTCCAAATTTCTTTGAAATCCTTCCAAAGCAATTATTCTTGCAAAAATGGAGAATTTCTTGACCGATATTTGTGAAAAAATTGACTGTTCTTTTTAAAGAATTTCTTGATGAATAAATAATTTCTTGAAAATTGAATTCCGTCATCAGTCCATTATTTTTTTTTTGCAAAAATCCCTCGAAAGCAATCTTTCTGGCTTTATTGTTAGACAATAATGAAATTTGCACATGATTTAACCTTCTATAAGTGCAAAAACTACTATGAAATCGGAGATGAGATGTGACCTTTTGTTCACCTATAATGTTTCTCCATGACGAAGAAGGGTGAGATTCTCATGTGATGCGGAGTCCAACAAGTGCTGAGGCTACTATGGTAACAGAGTCTATTGTGTGAGATGGGAAGTGGTATATTTGAATCCCCCTAATTTGAAATTATTCAGTGAAGTAGATATGATTGATATTTACGTAGTTTGACCTACCCAATTACCTACGTCCACACTAAGCTCACATTGCACTTGCGATTTCACTCTTTCTGGGTAATAACTCCTTTTCTTCCTGCGGGTGAAAAACCTCACAAACTCTTGTTTTAAGGGGAACTGTGTCCTCACATTTAACATGGGCATGGGGACCACTTCTAAGTTTAAGCTTAGAAAACTTTCTATGGGATGCCTTTCACCCAAGTAACCCAAAACTTTTACAAGTAGCTAACGCTGTCACTAACTATGATCTGCCCTTATGCAATTTAAACGAGATCAACTATAAATATATAAGGAAAATTACATTATAATAAAATTAGAGATTGAAAGAAATAATTTGCTCTAAACTTAGTCACAGATTATGATGAGGGATAAGCATTTTCTTTTCTTTTCTTCCTTTTCATGGAATGCGACCATTTTGGCATAAACTCTATTAGATATATGCAAATATAAGCATGGAATAGAGTTAAAGCCTTTGTATATATGTATATGTAATACTTGAATGATTAGAATGTATTTAATATCTATAACAGAGGTCTAGGATCCACAGGAAAGATGCAACAACAGCTAGAAATTCTCAAACTTGGAAAACAATCAATTGCACTAGATTAATTTAGTTGTTACCTAACCTTTCAGATTTGTGGAGGCCCATTAAAGTTAACGGAAGCTTGCTAAGGGGTTAGCGGAGGCCAATGAAGGTTTGAGGTGACCCGTTAATAGTTTGATTCTAAATTTAAAAATATAGTCAATTCACACAGTGACTTTAAAGTTTGTGGTGATATACCAACAGTGACCTGTTAAATATGTTTGTACAATTCTTTATACATTTAAGTGCATTACAATTTAAGTTTTGATTTACTTATATAGCATAATTTTAATCAAGCACTATCATTTGAAAATGCCTTGGAATTGTTTCACAATGTAAATTAATATTATTATATTTTAATTTACATGTTCATCATTCTTTAGATTCTTTAGGGTAATCATGTACTCAAGAATCATATAATGAATTACCTAAACATACACACTAACCTAAATCCTTTATTTATTAACTTTTCTTTTTAAATTATAATGATTGTCAATTTATTGATCATTTTCAAGATGCAAAGGCTTCAACTGCCTAGTCGAATAGCTCTTTGTATTCATTGCTTATCTAATATATGTTTAATTAGTGGAGGCACTTAGTAAATCATTAGGTGTCACCACGCATTTGTTTGTTATCATCAAATGGCTAATGACCGACCCGTCGGTATATGAATTTAACTAGTACTGTTATTCTCGAACTTTACCTTGCATTTATTGTGTTTTCCTTACATCTGTCAATAACACACGCTCTCACCCTTTTCCTTTAAATATGTATTGTTATAGTTTGGCTGTTTTGAAGATGCCAGCTTTAAGTATCCTTTTCTTTGTCCAAATGGAGTATCATTCCTCAAGCCTTCAATGGATGCTTTGTATTGTTCCCAGCTGCAGGTGTTAAGCACTGCACTCATTTGAATTTTTTTTATTATTAGCCTGACATGCATTTTTTGGGGAGAAGCATACAAATCCAGAAGTGTCCATCGAGAACTACGTGTAGAGTTGTCTTAGCTTTTTAAGTAACCAAAGATATTGGATTGTGGATATGATACTCTCAAACACTTGAAATATATGCTACCAATTTGATTTTTCAGTTGATGTCCAAATTGTTTAGAGCTTTCTTGTAGCGGAATTGTTAGATCAATAGCCTCCGTGCACTCCAAAATTTATCTGCAGTGGAAATCTAGTAGGCCAAGAGCCCTCCTGCGCTCTCATCGTGATTTGTTATCCTTTTAATCCTTTTTAAAGTTAATCGACTCCCTACCTTACTGCTCTAGGTCAACTGAGATTTGACAGGTCTCCACTAGCACCTCTATCCCTCCTCGTCAGCTTCAAGAACAAGGGAATTCTCTCAAAGGAAACTGAAAATTTTGATTTTTTATTCCATGAAGGAGCAATCTACACTGGGAGCTTCAATAACAAGGGAATTACAAAATCATCTGCTAATACTGCCAACCCCCTTTAACAATCTTTATGTATATATATACCGTTGAAAGTCATTCATTTCATTTGAATCCATACACCATCTCATTCTTTAACTGAAGTTGAAATAAAATACTTAATAGCTTTTTATCAATGCTTTGTATTTTGCTTCATATTTGATATCGGAGAACCCAAACAATAATAAGAAATCAAATATTGTTATTTAAATTAAAAAATAGGGATAAACACTCACTCATGCAAAAATTGAAATAACGATAGATACGACACAAACTGATATTGAAGTTAGCCCAAACCATAATAGAAATACAAATATTGTTTTTGAAATTCAAAATTGATTACAGACAAAGAATCTTACAATAAGAAAATAATGACATAAACACAAAAGACCTCCTAGTATGAGGATTGACAGTGATGGACTACATGACATGGTAGTAGAAAGGGAGGGCGGGAGGTGGTACAGAGGCTTAACGAAAGCGAGGGGAAGGTGGTTGGGACAGTGGAGGGAGTGGTAGCAAGCTAGAATTGGATGGGACCAGCTGGACAACAAGTGGCGGGATTGTAGGTGCGTGCGGTAGCAAAGTAGGAGGCTGAGTGGAGTGGAAGGTGTTGGGATGGCTGGGACAGCGATGGAAATGATAGGGAGGGTTGGAGTCGGGGAAAGACAGAGTGTAGGCTATTCTCGGGATGACAACTGCAAAGAGAAGGGTTGGCGGCAAGGGGAGAGCAGTTTGGGAGGGGGAGGAGAGGCGTCATACAGTTGCAGGAAAACAATAATGTGGTTGTTTTTCGGTAGTTGCAACATATACAACAACAACAATAGAAGGGTTGAGGGGGAGTGGGAAGGTCGATGATAATTACAACCTCAGACTAGTTATAACTAGAGCAACACTCGTCGTTAGATAGAACCCAAGATTGAAACCTGGACGTCGACTACTGTCCTGACAGATATCTGAACCAAAATTAGCGTAAAACACAGGAAATAAAATATAAATACTCTTTGGGAATCATGCCGATGGCTGTCCTGTCATTGTCTCTTTCTTCAGTAGCTCTTTGCTCAGTGAGATATGTCATCTCTCTGGTT